CTCTTTCAGTTTGATATTTAATTTGAAATATTCATTTCATATTTTTTGGTCATGTATTGATCTTTTATATGACATTTTATCCAAATTGTTAGCTTTTAAATTATAATCCTCTTGAATTAAAAGGTGAAAGGAGAAGGAAAATAGACTTGAGTTATCTCTAAATAAATAAATAAAAAAACGTACTTGTTATTTATTTTTTTAACAAAACTTGTTAAAAAGACAAGCATGTAAATAACGTGTAGAGAAATTCATTTTCAGCTCCTTGAACCTCTCTAAAATTTTTAGATTGACAAAAATACTCAAATTTTAGGATTTAAAAACTTAAAAAGAAACTTCAAATTCTACATTGCCGACACTATATTGTTGACACGTGGTTCAAAATTTAAAAATATGTATCCAGATAGTTGAAATATTTACACTATAAATAGCAAACTAATATCATTATTCTCTCATCACACATCCAATTATAAAAAAAGAAGTTGGTTTTTATTCTGGACTGGACCGGGCTGATCCAGAAGCATTGATAAGGCCCAATCCAAACGGACTTGCTGGGGGTCACGCTGATCAAAGGATCACAGTCGTGCCCGACGTACTCCCTGGAGCTACTTGCTCGACGTTCTACTGTCCAGCTCGACCTCAGCTCGAGCACCCCTCCTAGGGCAGACTCAATCCACTGCACCCTCGCCTGGGTCCCGAAAAGACCGCGTCCTCGTCCGCCCGCACTTCACGCAGCACATCCAGGAAGGAGACCACGTGCGGGTCTCCACTACACACGTAGAACCTGACAGTTCCTTCATTGGGCCAAACCTACCCGGCCCAATGAAGGGACCTTGGCCCAGCGCTGGGGGCTATAAATACCCTCTGTTCCCAGAGGGTCAGGTATTCATCATTCTACCCATACTCCTACTATTGTCCGCTCGTGCTCTTACTTACTTCAGCATCAAAGTGTCTTGCAGGTACCCCCCCCCCCCACCTCGTCCAAAACTTCAGCTCGGAGCCAGCTGTGACGGTCCAAGTCTGATCAGGTTAGATCAGTGAACTTGCCTAAGTCTTTTGTTCGTGTGTGCTCTCGGGCTCTTTTCGATGGCCAATTAAGTCGCAAAATACATAGAATACATACACGGGCAAACAGTCAAATGGAAACAAATTCATTCAATACGCCCGTAGGCAACAAAACAAATAAATATAAACCGACCAAGAAGGCCGGCGATGTTCAGGAAGTACAACCAACGGGCACGCAGGCCCAAAAAATACGATCGGGCACGCAGGCCCAAAACAAATATCAACAAGGCACGCAGGCCCATCCTCATCTTACAATTATGTTTCCCCGGAGCCATCATCACCGACAACAGGAGAGTCGGGCAGGGGCACGATCTTGCCATCCACGATCTGAGACATGTAGCCCGTCCCTTCAGTGTTCAAACCGGGATTCAGTAAGGAAAGCTGGCTGACCGCGGACTCGAACCCCTCCTCCATAGCGCCGACACAATCCGCTTCGAGGAGCCGGATACGGGCGACCAGCTCCGATCGACTCCTCAAGGCGGCTATATCCTCCGGCTCATCCTCGACAGGAAGCATGGAGGCCTTCAGGTCCTCGATCTCTCTGGCGAGGCGCCCGATATCGATTTCCAAAAGCTCCCGATCTGCACGGAGAAGCTCTCTCTCCTCGGCTAGCTTCCCCGAGTTCTCCTTCTCCAGAGTCAGCATCTCTGTCTCGGCAGCCAGCAGCGCGGCTTGCTCGCGGAACATCTCCTCGGAGCGCTCCAGGGCAGCCTTTAACTTTCGCGAACTCGAGGTGAGGGCCGCTTTCTCCTATTCCAATTCTTTGATGCAATCAGGATCCTCCCCTTCCTCGGACAGCACAACGGCCATTTCAGCCATCTTCACCAGCCCGGCCATATTGGCGGCCAGGTGCCTCCTCCGGTCCTCCTTGCTCATCCGCCTGATGGCCTCAGCCTCATCGGCAGTCACGGACAAAGGGAACCCCTCGAAGAAACCCTCCTCTTTGAAGCAAGGGGGCAACCTGAAGGACCTTACGGCGCTGGAATCCTCGCCGACCGCCGGCCCACTTTCCACCCGGTTCCTTTTCCTTGGTATCAGGTCGATATGTGGCTCGACCTCCTGGACCTCCGGGGTCTCTTCCGAAGCAGCCCCCGAGCTAGGCGGCGAATCCACCCTCACCGCATGAGAAGCGCCCGGACTATGCGGTGGGTCCATCCTCGTTGCTTGAGGAGCTTTCACCACCCTCTTGTTCGCCCTCCGGTCACAGGACAACTTCAAGAGCCTCTCCCGTCGTCCGACCATCGAACCTGCACGGAAAAAAAAATCGGGTTAGTGCCGAGCAAATAAGCAAACAAATGACAAGTAAAGAAATTCAAACAATAAACGACCTAGCAGACGCGCAGCCTGCCCGAATGACTGGCACTCCATGAGTGCCTTCGTATCAATCGGTCGGGCCTCGAAGGTCGGATAACCCTCCTCGTCCAGGACATCTTCCCCCTCCCTCGTGGCCCATCTGGCGGGGTGGAAGCTATCAACGTACCGACAAAGAGTGTCGTAAGCCTTCTCGTCCTCGGAACCCATGTCGCCCGCAGACGTATGATAATACCCAGTACCGTGCTCATAATGCCTAGAGATCCAATGCACGGGAAACTTGGTCGTGCGTCCCAACACCGGATGCCCTTCGTTGTCTAAAAGTGCCTCCCCGTCATCGTCGGATATCACCGCTTCCTCCTCGTACAGGGACTCTAAAGCGGCTGTGGTAACCGGCCTCACGACATACCACTTGTCTTTAAAACCCCGCACGGAGTCCATGTACATCCTGAAAAGTCTCTTCGACTGTTTCAGGGAAACCCAGCTATGCTTTCCTCCCCGGGACTGGCGCTGCAGATGGAAGACTCTGAAGAAGAGGGGTATAGTCGCCCCAATCTTTAGAAAACGACAGGTCAGCTCAAACGCCCGGATAAAGGCGAGCGAATTTGGATGTAGCTGCGACGGGGCCAGCCCCAAATGGCTAAAGAGCCCGACCTGAAAGTCGCTGAAGGGCAGCTGCAACCCAAGGTCTTTGAATGCAATTTCATACATAGGGAAACTGTACTCGGGGAACACCGAGCAAATCCGAGCAGTGAAGGTCGGTCTAGTAACGACGAAATTCTTTTGAAAACCGGGCTGGCCGTGGCCGGCCTCAAGGACATCGTATAGCCTCGGCTGCGCCGACTATAGACCGAGGCGATTCCTCTAGGCTCGGCAGCCACCCAGTCCAACAGAGGGTCCTCTACGGAGTCGACCAAACTCACAGTCTCATCGGCACTTTGTTCTTCCCTTTCGGGGCGTCCTGAAGAGCACGGTTCGTCCGCCATGGTTACCTACAGAGCACGGGAAACCAGTCAATTGGGTACGAAACCATACGCTCGTCATAACGGACAAGATGAAGTGCGCGACAAACCACGTCGCTCCACGCGCGACCACAAAGTTGGTTTGAAACAAAAATAGCAGTCGCCTCCCCGACTTCCAGATACCTCGACAGGTCCTTCTACAAGCCGCCTAAATAAACCGACAACACGGTCACTCGTGAATACGTCGACCCGGGGTATGAACATGGCGAGCAACATCATAAAGCCTAAAGCTAGAGCTATGAGTCTACCGGGCACGATCACGAATTAGGCGCCCTGGATCATAAAGACCCCGGGCAGCACTGCAGATTATAACCTAAACTATGTATCTACTGGCCACGAACATGCGTTTGCCGACCTCATGCATGAATTTGTCGGGCTGAACATAAGTTTTCCGGGCTAGTCCCACGCGCACAGCCTCTAAAAATGTCTAAAACAATGAAAATCACGTATCACAACAGAAAAACAGAAGAGACGAGTCACTTACGTGGAATCAAAGGAGGAAATTTTACGACGGAGAAACGAAATCTGCGACAGAGATCACGGCGGTCCTGTGGATGTCTGAGAAGAACAGCAATAGCAAAAACACAATGAAGAGGAGAAGCGCGAAGAGTGAAAACACATTCTGGGGCCCAAGGACCCTATTTATAGTGATGACGTGGAATACCAAACGTCACCTCGGGCAACCACAGAGTTTCTCTCCTCGACGCACGGCTCCCTAGGCAATAATGACCCTATCCTCCATAGGGTTGCCGCTCAGTTCCCAAAAAGACCTCGCGTGCCCGACAGACGTAGCCTGCTGAGAATCCCTCGAGCATTCCTCGAAGGGAACCAGCCCGCGAACATGATGCGGGGCACCCCCTCGAGCACCCCCATGAGGAACTACATCTCTTGCCCGGATATGGGACCCCGCGACGAAAGCGACCTAGGAACCACGACTTGGGGGGCTCCTGTTCTGGACTGGGCCGGGCTGGCCCAGAAGCATTGATAAGGCTCAATCCAAACGGACTTGCTGGGGGTCACGCCGACCAAAGGATCACAGTCGTGCCCGACGTACTCCCTGGGGCTACTTGCTCGACGTCCTACTGTCCAGCTCGACCTCAGCTCGAGCACCCCTCCTAGGGCAGACTCAGTCCACTGCACCCTCGCCTGGGTCCCGAAAAGACCGCGTCCTCGTCCGCCCGCACTTCACGCAGCACATCCAGGAAGGAGACCACGTGCGGGTCTCCACTACACACGTAGAACCTGACAGTTCCTTCATTGGCCCAAACCTGCCCGACCCAATGAAGGGACCTTGGCCCAGCGCTGGGGGCTATAAATACCTTCTGTTCCCAGAGGGTCAGGTATTCATCATTCTACCCATACTCCTATTATTGTCTGCTCGTGCTCTTACTTACTTCAGCATCGGAGTGTCTTGCAGGTACCCCTCCACCTCGTCCAAAACTTCAGCTCGGAGCCAGCCGTGACGGTCCAAGTCTGATCAGGTTAGATCAGTTTTCATTATTCTTTTCTTTTTTTCTCTTCTCTCATATACCTCCAATACTTCTTCTTATACTAGTGATTTTTGTGTTGCAAACTTAAGGCTTCCAAACACTCCTTCAGGTTATCATGCAAGTCAGAAACCATTGTAACAGTGGATGATTTTGTATCTTCAGGTTTTGTAGCTGGGACCATAAAAAGCCCTTTTAATATTGGATTTACACCTGTTACTGTGAATAATTTAGCAGGTCTCAATGGGCTAGGTATCTCTGTAGCCAGAATAGATTTTGCTATAAATGGAAGTGTACCAATGCACATTCATCCAGATGCAACCCAATTGGTAATTATTGTTGAAGGTGTCGTTACTGTTGGATTTATCACACCAACAAATGTTTATCAGAAAACTCTTAATGCTGGTGATGCTTTTGTTTTTCCAATAGGATTATTGCATTTTGCAGTTAACTCTGGTCCTGGAAAAGCTATTGTCTTTTCTGCTTTTAGTAGCGACAATCCTAACTTGCATATACTCACTGTCTTACTATTTGGTAACAATTTAGCAACGCGCACAATTGAAAAGACTGCTCTCCTTGAAAGAGCTCAAATTATGAAGCTTAAGGCTCAGTTTGGTGGTAGGGGCTAGGGTTTCTAGCTTATGATTCATCCTCTTTGTTTGTTTTAAGTTAAGTTAATTATATAAGCAATAAAAGTTATATGTATTTTGATTTTACATTTTTATGTCAATTTTAAATTCAATAATATAAGAGGGTGATATGGTCCTTAATTTCTCATATAATCTCAACGTATTTTTTTGCTAACAATTTGTTATATCATTAAGATTATTGGTGAAAACAATAGAGACATGCATGAAAAAAATTTATCTGCTGTATGTATATAATTGGTTCAGCCATGAAATATTTTTTTTGAATATATTGATTCAGTAAAATTAATTATAGTTGAAATTGATTTAAATATAAAATGATTTATATTTGGATAACTATATGCAAAATTGAGTTGAACAGTAAATTTTAATGTAAAAATGACGTTTAAATTCAAATGTTACAAATTTGAGAATAATTGTGTATTTTGTTGAATAAATTTTAATGTGTTAGTAATAAGTTTTACATTAAATGTGGTAGTAGGAAGGACAAAAGTTTATTAAGTTATGATAGTTTATTAGTAGCAGTCATGTTTTTAGAATTGTAAAAGCCATTGGGTATATATAAAGACCAAGAGTGTATTTTATTTTAACAAGAGCAATATAGAAGTATTCATATAGAAGTCTGATTATCTTATAACAATTTGGCATCAGAGCTCATGGAAAACATGATGAATCAAATGTCGTTGCCACGACTAACGAAGTCAAATTATGAAAACTGGAGTATCCAAATGAAAGCTCTTCTTGGATCTCTAGATGCGTGGGATGTGACCCGTGATGGGTTTGTAGAACCAACAGAAGTTGGGGGATATACGACAGCTCAAACGAAGGCGTTGAAAGAGACGCGATCGAAGGACAAAACAGCATTATACATGTTATTCAGGGTTGTAGATGAATCAGGCTTCGAAAAAAATTGCTGGTTTGACTACGTCGAAACAAGCGTGTGACACGTTAGAAAAAGTGTTCAAAGGAGCAGATCGAGTGAAGCAAGTTCGACTCCAAACTCTTCGTGGCGAATTGGAGAGAATACAGATGAAGGATACAGAAATTGTATCTGACTACATCACGCGTGTGCAAAAGGTGGTGAATCAACTCACCAGAAATGGAGAGACAGTACCTGATGCACGAGTTGTTGAAAAGATCTTGAGATCTTTAACAGACAAGTTTGAGAATATTGTGTGTACAATAGAAGAGTCGAAGGACCTTTCGACGCTCTCAGTCGAAGAGCTCGCTGGTTCTCTCGAAGCACATGAACAATGAAAGATGAAAAAGAAAGAAGAAGCAGTCGAAGAAGCAAACCAAACCAAGGAATCGAACAAAGATGAAAAGGTACTCTTTTCGAATAAATTTCGAGGAAGAGGACGTGGACGTGGAGGTCGTGACAGTGGTCGAAGTGGTAGAGGTAGCAACTTCGAAAGGGGACAATCAAGCCAACAAAATTGGCGTGGCAGAGGACGTGGTCAAAGAGGTGGTTGTTCGAATCATTCCAACTTCGAATGCTACAAGTGTGGGAAGTATGGTCATTATGCGAAGGATTGCAACTCCTACAAATGTTACAACTGTGACAAAGTGGGACATCTTGCAAAAGACTGTCGAATCGAAAAGAAGATTGAAGAAACAACCAACCTATTCTTGGAAGCTGAATCGAATGAAGGCTTTCTCCTGATGGCTCAAAACAAAATCAACACCAATAATGACAATGTTTGGTATCTTGACTCAGGAGCAAGTAATCACATGTGTGGTTACAAACACCTGTTTAAAGATATGAAGAGAATTGAAGATGGTAATGTGTCTTTTGGAGATGCATTAAAAGTGAAGGTCGAAGGAAAAGGCACAATCGGTTACTTGCAGAAGGATGGCTTGATTGGATCAATCGAAGACGTTTACTATGTACCAGATCTCAAGACCAACATATTAAGTCTGGGACAACTTACAGAAAAAGGTGCTACGATACTTATGAAAGATCGAACACTGCATTTGAAGGACAAATTAGGACATCTGATTGCCAGTGTCGAAATGGAAAGAAATCGAATGTACAAACTGAACCTGAGGAACATTCGAGAGAAATGTCTGCAAATCTAAGTGCAAGACAAAGCGTCACTATGACATATGCGCTTTGGTCATCTACATCATGCTGGTTTGAAAAGGTTGGCGAAAAGGAACATGGTGCATGGACTACCAGACATGGATTTCGAAGGAAAATTCTGTGAAGAATGTGTGCTCAGCAAACAAACAAGAACCTCATTTCAAAGGAAGGCAGAGTATCAAGCTAAACATATTCTCGAATTGATACATACTGACATATGTGGGACAATCACTCCAGAATCCTTTAGTGGAAATGGTACTTCATTTCTTTTATTGATGACTTCTCAAAAAAAACCTGGGTTTACTTCCTGAAAGAAAAATCTGAAGCATTAGAAGTGTTCAAAAAGTTCAAAGTAATGGTGGAGAAGGCAACAGACAGACACATCAAAGCAATTCGATCTGACAGAGGAGGTGAGTATACTTCAATGGCCTTTGTGAAGTACTGTGAAGAACAGGGCATAAGGAGATTCCTAACTGCACCATATTCACCTCAACAAAATGGTGTGGCTGAAAGGAAGAATCGAACTATTCTTGACATGACTCGATCAATGCTCAAAAGCAAGAACATGTCGGAAGAATTCTGGGCAGAAGCAGTACAATGTGCTGTTTATATTCAGAATAGATGTCCACATTCGAAGTTAGAAGACAAAACACCACAAGAAGCATGGAGTGGACAGAAGCCAAAAATTTCTCATCTCAAGGTATTTGGTAGTATAGCTTATGCACATGTACCAGATCAACGAAGAACAAAGCTTGAAGACAAAAGTCAGAAGTACATATTCATTGGATATGATGAGAAGACGAAAGGGTACAAGCTCTTCAATCCAATAAGCAAGAAAGTGATCGTGAGTAGAGACGTTCGAATGGACGAAGCAAGCAAGTGGGACTGGAACAATTAGACAGAGGTTGTTGACACAGTCGAAGAAACAACTGTAGCTGTACCAACTAGTATTCCAACAGAACATGAAGAAACTGAAGATGAAGATGAACCTCTACAACCAAAAATGAGAAGTTTGCAAGATTTGTATGATTCAACAAGTGAGGTGCATCTTGTGTGTCTTCTGGCAGATGCTGAAAACATCAGTGTCGAAGAAGCGTTACGAGATAAGAAGTGGAAAAGTGTCATGGACAAAGAAATTAGAGCAATCGAACGCAACAATACTTGGGAGCTAGTCGGATTTCCAAAAGGTAGTGAACCCATTGGTGTAAAGTGGGTATTCAAGAAAAAGATAAATGCTCAAGGAGAAATCGAAAGATTCAAAGCACGACTGGTTGCGAAGGGATACAAATAGAAAGCAGGAATTGACTATGACGAAGTGTTTGCGCCTGTTGCAAGAATGGAGACAATTCGATTACTCATTTCTCAAGCTGCTCAATTCAAATGGCCAATATTTCAAATGGATGTCAAGATAACATTTTTGAATGGTGTGATCGAAGAAGAAATCTATGTCGAACAACCACTTGGATATATGAGAATTGGAGAAGAGAAGAAGGTGTTGAAACTGAAGAAGTCGATGTATGGGCTGAAGCAAGCACCTAGGGTATGGAACACACGTATTGACACATATTTCAAGGAGAATGGATTCGAGCAATGTCCTTATGAACCCACCCTCCATGTGAAGAAAAATGGAAGTAATTTATTACTTGTTGCTCTCTATGTTGATGATCTTATATTTCTAGGCAGTGATGTTCAGATGATCGAAGATTTCAAGAGCACCATGACAAGCGAATTTGAAATGACAGACTTAGGTCTGATGAGATTCTTTCTTGGTCTGGAGGTTCGATAAGAAGAAGCTGGAATCTTTATCTCACAAGAAAAATATGCAAAAGAAATCCTAGAAAAATATAAAATGAAGAATTGCAATCCAACTTCGACGCCAATGGAACCAGGTACAAAACTGTCAAAGTTTGATGGAGGAGAACGGGTCGAAGGAAGCAAATATCGAAGCTTGGTAGGTAGCCTTCGATATATCATATGCACAAGGCCAGACATTTCACTAAGTGTTGGCATAGTGAGTCGATTCATGGAGGAGCCAGTACACACACATTGGAAGGCGCTGAAACGAATTCTAAGATACATCCAAGGAGCAATATCACTAGGAATGTTTTATTCAAAAACAGAAGACTACAAGTTAGTTGGTTATTCTGACAGTGACTGGTGCAGAGACATAGACGATCGAAAGAGCACCTCTGGATATGTGTTTTTCATGGCAAACACAACATTTACTTGGATGTCGAAGAAGCAACCTATAGTAACACTTTCGACGTGTGAAGCTGAATATGTGGCAGCATCCTGGTGCGTCTGTCATGCAGTATGGCTCAGAAGGTTGATAAGCAAGATGGAGCTAAAACAGGAAGGTCCAACAATAATACAAGTGGATAATAAATCAGCTATCGAATTGGCAAAAAATCCAGTGAATCATGAACGAAGAAAACACATTGATGTTCGATTTCATTTCATTCGTGAACATGTGAAGGAGTGAAGTGTCGAATTGAGGCATGTAGCAAGCAAAAACCAAGCAGCGGATATTTTCACAAAACCACTGTCAAAAGAGATCTTCAACAGAGGCAAGAAGATGATAGGAATGCTGGATGGAAGAAACATTTAAGTTTACAGAGGTGTTTTGTTGAATAAACTTTAATGTGTTAGTAATAAGTTTTACATTAAATATGGTAGTAGGAAGGATAAAAGTTTAGTAAGTTATGATAGTTTATTAGTAGCAGTTATGTTTTTAGAATTGTAAAAGTCATTGGGTCTATATAAAGACCAATAGTGTATTTTATTTTAACAAGAGCAATATAGAAGTATTCATATAGAAGTCTGATTATCTTATAACATATTTCTCTCCCCATCAATGAATAATTATTACTCTCCTCATCGATCAATTGTTGTTTATAAT